CAGGGCAGCCGGCAGGATCTGGGGCATCCTTACCCCAGGTGCAAACACCCTGTAGCCTGGGAGTCACCCTCCTGCATTACAGAATTTGTACAACTGGAAACAAGTGCTGTTACACTTTGTTTTCATCTGGACCATGGAACAGAGAGAAACAGGGTGCCAGCCTGCACGCAGTGGGAAGTGTCTGTGCCAGGTCCGACTGATGCAAGCGTCCCCCTGAGCGGAGTGCTGCTCCTGCTGCTGTGGGTCTGTGTGCTTCAGCGAAACGCTTTAAAACTGCTACTGGGCTTTGCTTTTCCCTGTGCCAGAATGCTCACTTTAATTTAGAAAGTCCCTAGCAGCAATGCAGAATTTCTTAATCCTAGCAGTGAGAGTGTTGGGATTACACGGAATTATCTATTGAGCTGGCACACTAATTACTGCTGCACTGCAGCGTCCCTGCCACGGGTGTGTTGTGGGGTTTCAGTGCTGAACCTGTGTGACATGTCCCTGTCATGCCACGGGAGGCAGCTGTTCTAAATAATAGTGGCCATCACCCCCCAGCTGGGAACAGATGCAGGCGTGTGGTCAGTGCCCTCTGGTGGAAAATGATTTAGGAAAAAATAAAAATTTAAAAATAAAGTTGGGGAACTGCTAGGAGGGAATTCATGAGGGGTTGCCTGGACAGTAACATCGTTCGGCTGTAGTTATGCCATTGGCATCATGGCAGCGTAGCTACCCGGCGTGGATGAGGGTACGGCAGGATAGCCTCGTGTTTGGTTACACAGAAAAGTTCCATATCCGGGCACTTTTTGAGAAATAATGACATGTCTGTACATGCAGTGGTGGTACCTCAAATGAACATCCTATTTCACAGTCTAAAATCACTTCTAAATGGAGACATCGGCTTCTTGCTGTGCAAGAAAGGAAGCGCATCGCCTGGGCACAAGGCGTTACCCTCACCCGGGGTTTACACCAGGGTATAAATACAAACACGCCTTAACCATGAGTCACTGCAGAACGAGATGTATAATGAAACCTTTAACTCCCTTTCTGCAAAAAGAAATAAAGCATTCATCAAAACGCATTTTGGCTCAGTGAAGGGCTGTCTGTTAGGAGCCTCTGCTCCCTTTCCAGAAAGCGGTGAGGAGATGGAGCACATCCAAGAGGCATTTCAGATCACAGACATTATGAATCACCTTCTAAAATCACTTGCCTATTTCCATTGCCTTCCAAAACTGGGTGCCTAAAGTTAGTGGGGATTAATTTGGGCCCAACTGCATAAAACTCTTAGGTGAGGAGGACATGAACCTCAAGAAGCCCCGGGATGAAGATAGTGAGGTATGTCCCACTGATTTCATGGTAATGAGGTGTCTCTGGGAAGGTGGATGAAGTGGCTTTTCACAGACTTTTGCTCTCTGTGAAACAGACATCGTAACTTTTCAATTCCTCACGTGTCTGAAAGAGGCCAAGAATATTAATGAGATACTTCGGAGGTACTTTAGTAGGTCAGAGCCATCATGCTGCAAGGGAATTTTATCTGTGCTTTTGCAGAAAAAAAAAAAAAAAAAGTCTTGCTGAGCTTATAGAAAATACTTGGTGGGTGATCAGAAGATATTCAGGTTTTACACAGAATGACTTTGCTTTTGAAGGGAACCGGTTTGGAAGGTTTAGAGGAACCGGGGAGCCCTGTGTTCTACATTAACGCTTTCTCACAATTTAAAACCAAATGGTGCACTCTGGTTCCCTTGCATGATTCCCTCGTTCCTGCATAGTTAGAGAGGATGAATGTCATCTGCTGGGAAAGGACAGGATAAACGAGTTCTAGGTAATGCCTGGGCACTTCTTTATGTTTTGAAAGAGATGATGGGTTCCTCCGTGAAAATGACTTTTCACAACAGGGATTTCCCCCAAATTACTTTGAAATTCATGTATTTGGAAGAGTTATTTTTGGAACCTGAACTGTATGATCTGCGATAGTAAGTCTTCCAGTGGACAGAAAAAAAATTCTACAAGCATGACAGACCTCTCTAGTAACATCAGTTGTTTGAATGTTTCTGCAGCACTTTGGATAAATATTTAGACTTATTTTCTTCTCTTTATGTTTTCCTTCTCAAGGGAAAGGAAGAACTTCATCAGTTGTATCCTTTTTGTGCCTTCCATCCCTCACATGGGGGAGTCTTCAGAAAGACTGGCTGAAATGCATTCATATCTTCCTGCACAGTGCTGTTCTTGTGTTACTGAGTTTTCCATCAGCAGCAGCATCCATATGAAGCAAAACTGGTAAACATTCCTTCCGAGGGAAGGTGTTTTTGCAGCATTGGCTGGGATTTTGCCGGGATTTTGCCCTGATGGGCTCCCACTCACACACAAACCCCTTTAAGCCACCCTGCAGTCTTGACAGAGGGTGGCAGCCACCTTTTATGATCACACAGCTCATCTCCTTAGGAAGCAAGGCTGAAAATTGGATTTGTGGACCGATGGGCACAAGCCCCATGCAGCACACCTCACAGAGAGCTGAGCTTGCACAGCCAACAAGAGGGAGTAAAAGCAGCTTTCAGTAGTGCTTCCTCCTCTCTCATGTTAATTCCCTCCTGCCAAGATCTAAGCAACCTCCTGAGAGGAGACACCCTTGGCTTCAGAGATTTCCATGCTTAGAACCTATCTAGTAATTTTTTGCTCCACCTTCCTTCAACTGGAAAAACACAAAAACCTGGTTCTCTTTTAATAAAATGAGCTGCTCTGGGAACTGGAATACATCCACCGCGTGTGGGTGGGTGCTCCTTTCAGAAACTGGATGGGCAGTTCCCTGGAGAGATCCCTGGGATGAAGACCCTGCTTGGAGATATTCAGAGGATTAGAGAAGGGCTAGAGGAGAGAGAGGGGAGGATAAAGTGTAGTGTATATATATTTTGTGTATAGTAAGATGGATGGGGAAATGGTGAACTCTGCACTGATAACTTCCTTATATAAATAATACACTGTATTGTTCAAGGCTAAGAAAGGCATTTGGTATAATTTGGTTATCTCCTTGTGGTGATGAGCCCCAGGACGTCCTATGCATGTCTGATATATTGCAATAATAACGTGCTGCTGTGCTGCCTCAAGAGGAAGTGATTCCTTCAGTACGTGTGTACCTGCTCTGTAGGAATCCTGCCCATCCATGGGGGTGCGTGGGCTCTTGAAGCCATCCGACTGTGTTTACCATCAGCCTAGTTCATCCCACCCTGCTCAGGAGCTGCTTGGCTAGGAAGGAGCGTCTCTGCTGACTGCAGAGGGAGCCCCAGTGACTAATTCTGGGTCAGTGCACAACTTCAGGGTGGCTGTCACCTTGGGCTGGCTACAGTGAGATGTATCTGTCCTGAGCCCCCAAGTAATTTCTCCCTGTTGGTATGACAGTGTGTGCCACGTTCCCTGTCCTGCAGGGGCGTTTGGAAGATGTATTAAGGATTATGGAGCTTGGCAGTGGATCCACGTAGACAAATAACTAAAGGTAAATATTATACTATATACAACAGTTAATTTTGGGAGCAGTTTCTTATGAATTTGCATCTCAAAGTTTGCTCGTGGCCTTTCTCAGACACCTAACAAAGAGCACAGCTGTCAGGCTTTCCATCATGCGGGCAGTAACAGGGCCTGTCTGCTTCTCAGAGACACCTATTTTAAAAACTTGCAGGAATTTGATGTAGTGCAGTCTGCCAGCCCTCTGTCAACTTTGCTAAAGGCTGACTAACAGGTATAGAAGTTGTCTGGGGAAATGTACACATGGACCCGCCCCTCCTTTCCTTTGGCTAACGAATACCCCACTCCATACCAAATAATTTTTTTTAAAAAAGGAACTAAAGCCAAACCTGAAACAGTAAGCTTTTATCCCAACTCCTGGTATTTGCAATCTCAAGTTACTTTCTGAACCCTACCCAGTAGGCCAGTTGCAGTTGAACCATTTAATATAAAAAGGCACGGTGGTATAATTTGAGGTTACTGGGAAATGGCAATTTGATGAAATGGATCCCACCTTGTTGCTATGAGAAATCCTTAACAGCAGTTACCAGCTGTCATCTGTTCCTTTGCAGATTCTAATTTATGTAAATGGGATTTATTACATCTTCTACTTCTTGGTGACTCTTGCAATGATTGTTTATAAAAGTAAGTTGCACGTATTCTAACACAGAAGTAGGCTGTGTGCATATGACACAGCTGTGGTCTGTCGGTATGCCGGCTGTATTTTCCTGACTTATTTACACCATGCTATTCTACAGGTCAAGTTTTCAGTTATCCAGATGATTTTCTGGCTCCTGATCTTGTGCTGCTTTTCATTATGGCCATTCTTGAAGTGCCGCGACTATACTTGGGTATGTCATGTTATCACTGTGCCTTTCAGTGGAAAATAATCTTTAAACAGTAATCATTCTTAAATTGAGTGTGTGTCAAAACATGCCAGTTTAGCAGACTAGCAGATATTTGGAGACTGTTGTTCATTTATGTCATTAAACTTTATCTGACTGATCAATAGATTTGGCCAGAGGGTTAGGCAGAATTTGCTCTCATATGAAATATAATCTACAAGGCCATTAAAAAACAATGGTGAGGGCGGCAGAAAGCACTGTAACTGGGACAGCTGGAGTGCTGGTTCCAAGGGAGTGCGACTTGTGAGAATGAACGTGTTGAAACACAGAGATTTCCACTCACCGAGGCAACACAGCTCCTGTCAACTGCTCCAGCAACAAGTAACAAAATGGCTGGAGCCCAGTGGAGTGGGTGGCGCTAAGGACGTCCCTGAGCAGCGTACGGCTGCCACTGCGACTGCACCTCTTCCTTTCATTCCTTCTGAAGGCCACTTCCAACATCTTTGTTTCTCTAAGACACAACAGCATAAAGGGCCTCCTGACCCCTCTCCAGAGCTTGCTGAAAGGTCATAAAGTCCTTTTTTAAAAATAACAAGTTACTATTCAAATCTGTGCTGGATATTCCAAAGACATGTATGCAAGGTGGGTCTCTGAACACAGCTGACTTGCTGTAGGGGTGCATTTAGCCTCTTGCCTTAAAGCTCTCTGCATATGTTTGCTTGGAGCCTGGTGGATGAATAAAGAAGTGAGTTCCAAGTCTAATGTAGTTAAAGAGCAAAATCGGCTGAGACCAGTTTGGAAATAAAATGCAAGGAAGAGATAATGCAGCTTCTCCACGATGGTAGTAATTTGAAATAGGAATAGATTAGCAGGGAATAAGAAAATTCCATATTGCATAAAACTCTAAAATCAGGATTGGATGCTCTCAGATGCGCAGTGCAGTCACTGAGTTGTCCCAGTAAGTGCAGGACTGGGGGGAAAAAAGAAGCAGAGTGATCAAAATGGTTGCAGCTTCAGAACTGACTATCTGCGGTAAGCAAAGGTAGGTGTTGTGACCTGGAGCATCAACTGATTGCTCTTTATTTAGATTAACTGTGGTCATCAAAAAATGGATTGTCCATCGGTGTCTGGGGTTGTTCTTACATTTACTGACAGGGCCCTGATTCAGGCCAGTATGTCGGTGTACTCTGAGCTGGAGGAACTGGAGCCTTTTTTGAACAGGAATACTCCAGACTTATGGCTTGTGATAGTGTCAGAAGAAACCAAAGACTCACATCAGCTTTTTGTTTCCTTCAAGGTTCAAAGGGTAACCTGACAGAAGAAGAGGCTCCATTAGGGCTCAGTCTTGTGATCACGGTTGGAAGCGTGATTCTGTCCGTGTATTTCCTGGTGTGGCAAACGTACGTGCTGAAAGCAGACGTCATTATAAACGCTGTTCTTCTCTTTACGTACGGGCTTGAGTCAGTACTAAAGGTCATGGCCATCGCTGCTTTTGTCAACTAAACCCTGGCAGTTTTCAACACTTTTCTTCTATAAAAGAGTGGGTTTATAGCTAAACCCTGGCAGTTTTCAACACATTTTCAATACTTTTCTTCTATAAAAGAGTGGGTTTATATTTAATATATTTAATTCTTTTGCATAAAAAAATCCTATAAAACTTCCCTCAGTTTAAAGGACAAATTTTTGAGGGCAGAGATCCCCCTGGATGGTAGGCAAAATGCCCTGTCTAGCAGCTGTGTTACACCATCTCATCAGTTAGCTCATTTATGGGCAACAGCAAGAGATGATTCAGCAAAAACACTGAATGCTCTAGTATTCATCAGGGATTGATACTAAATATTAATTCCAACACAGGGTAGTAGCCAGTGCATCATCTAGCTACATGCTGTGGAGATGGTGTCAGTCTTTAGGGCACAGCAACCCAAGTGCCACAGAAATTAACCAGGGCAGTATCGCGGGGACTCGTTCCTGCCGCACCACATCCGTGTTCGTGTTTGAGGGCACAGCTCCTCTTCTGCTCTCGTTTGTGTTTCCAGACCCCAGTGGTAATCTCCCTGACTTTACTAGGGCAGTACCTGATTTACCCAGCGGGAGAGAGCTGAACTGAGTTTTGCGCGTACCTGGAGACGAGCTGCAGGGTTTGGGCAGCCGGTTCTGACTGGCGCGGGGGCCAAAGGCAGTAGTGTGAGGGTATGTTTGGTTAGAAAGGATGGGCTTAAGATGAGCATAAACATTCACCATTCACTCACCCTTCTGTCCTATTTAAAAGTCCAACAGAATGTTGTCAGGTGTATTTCTGTTTGGTGTCAAATGTGTTGATTTCCATGATTCTGCAAAAATGACTACCTGCAGCCTTGTCTTTTAAATGAAGAGCTGTGTGCAATTTCAGATTTTTTTACTGTATCAAAGATTTGTATGTATTAATGTAAAGTTGGGAGAGTTCTTGTACAAGCAGGTTTTATATTCAGAATTTCCTATTTTTGTATTTATTTATACAAATAAATAACGTTTGAGATCTAAGAAGTGTTTGAAGTCCCGAGCATCATGTTCAGATCCTAGTCTACAGCTAAGCTACCCCAAGGAAGACTTGGGCGAGACTGGATGTGTGCAAAAGACTCTTGTGATCCCGCTGCTGCTGCCGTGCGCAGGCCATTCTCCTGCGCTGGGAAAGAGCGCCTGAGGTCTGCACTCATTTACACTAGTAAATGGTCCAGGCCCCGTATCGCCTCAGCCACGCTGCTCTTTTCTTTCCCATGGTGGCAGAAGGGAACAAAAGATGCAGAAGGCCCTGTGGAAGGGCCCAGTTTCATCCCTCAGTCACACCCAGGGGAGCCCCTTCCACGGCCAGGGAACAGCAGCCAGCAGTCAAAACCAAAACCCCCGCCTGGGCACGAACCCCCCTGGGCCAGATCC